TGAAATGGGAGCAACCGACTATTGCGGATTGAGTGTGGGCTTTGTTTTTTTTCAGCTTCCAAGCCGAATTTGTCTGCAGCCAATTTCACAACTGGAATTGGCTGGTATCGAGCTAATGTTTCATTTCACAATCTAGTCTTCGTTTCAATTTGTGCCCATACGCCCATTAAAGTTCATGAACTATTAGTCCTCAAATTGTTTCCATATTGTTTATTTTATTAAAGGTTTACATTGTCAAAAGTAGTAAAAGAGTAATTATCAATTCCAGTGCTGCTATACTACCAGGATAATTTGAATGGGTTTTATTTTTTAATACCTTCCAATGGCAAAAGTTTTTTAAAGCTGCTTTAGAAATAATATGAAGAAGACACATGATACACATTTAAATAAATACTGAGGATTTTGTGTTCTGTTGTGTCTACTCACTGGACTTCCCAGTGTATTCGTTAATACCAGGCAAAAAGAAGAGTCATGATGACTGTTGATTTTATTTTATTAAAGAGCTAATGGAGTTTTCCCATCCTGACTGCAGAATAGTACAGTATTGTGGCTGCATTAGGTATAATGATAGTTGATAATACATTTATTAAGAAACATATTAGAAACATTGAATGTATATAAAAGCTTGAACTTCTTTAATAAAATCCTCTCCTGTCACTCCTGCATTTCTTTTGCAATAATTCCTGTCTCTCCTATTCTTCATTACACTTTCACATAAGATTTTTTTTCCCACGAAATGCCTTCTAGACTTCCATGCTCCGAGACTATGCTTCAGTGAAAATCCATCCTCTGTCACTATGTATGCACACACAGGTGACCACTCCCAGCATATCCAAGTTGTAAAAGCAAAAAATAAAAAAAGAGGGACACTTCTGAAGTTGGTTAGGTGTGGAAGATCAGAGGACAACAAAGGAAGAGGTCAAGAAGTGGAGGGAAACGAAGAGATCACTGAAATTCTCCTTGATTAAAGATGACTGTTACCTGGAATTTGTTCATCTCTCATCCTTTCCCTTGAAAAATGATGATAAAGGGCAGAGTAAAAGATTACAGAGACCCCACAGTTATTCTTCACTATAAAACTTTGTTAATTCTGAAGGCGGTCTTTGGCAAAACAGGAAATCCGTAGGAATTTAAGAGAGATACTAGATTTTGCTCTATTCAATTTATTTGTCGTTAATTCTTTTTCACTCCATTTATTAAGAAAATAACAAAGGAAAATATTTTGCTTTTGAAAAAAAAAATCTGTAAGATCACCTAAGATCTGTTACAGATCAGTAACTTAGGAACAGATGGAAAAACAAGAAAAAAATTCTGCAACTTAAGTATTCTGAAATCAGAGCTGACACAGAGGACTTTTCTTAATAGAACAAGCACTGGATCCACCAAAGGAGCAATGGGGCTGTCGAGGTAACAGAGAATATACAGATAAGGAAGGGGGCTGGAAGATAGGGAGAATGACATTGGTATGTAAGAAAATCTCGAGTTTCATATGATGCAGGAGTTCACCCAAGATGGTCTGAAAATAACTTTTAACTAAAAGCAGCTACAAATGTGTGCACTACATGACTACAATTACTAAAAATTTTAAATTACAAAATTATTTGTAAATTACTATAAAATTATCCAATCACTATAAAAGTTCATCGATTTGCTGTTGTGATTGGGGATTACACAGCCTGAGTAAGGTTGCACTAATAAGGAGCAATTATGGAAAAAAAAATGTTTCTCTGAAGCTAGATGTGCAAAGGAAACACGAAGGTGATGCAGTTCAAAGAACCCAGTACCCCCAATGCTTGCATGCACGCAGTCTCCCCAGCTGAGGCAGTGGGAGTCAGCTATAACTAAGGACTGCATGCTTTGACCCTGAAGCATGACACTGTGCTTAGCTGTGCACCTGCACTCCACTTCACAAACCTAGAAGTCCTATTGATTAAAAGTATAGTGAAGTAGCATGTTTAAAGCCTATCTTTTTTTCCCTCTCTCTATCTTTAAACAAGCTAGCAAAATGATTCATTTGTATTATGAGTTTATGGCTCAGTACTATATGAAAAATTAAACATCTTTTGGTTTATGAGTATAAAAATTCTTTCTTATTGCAAAAGCCCAGCTTTGGTTTTCGTTCCTATCTCTCTTTCAAACAAGGCTAAATACAAGGAAGACAAAAGAGCTAATTTAATGTGTATTTGGTTTAAATCACACTCCTATACTAAGTTAATGCAGCTTCATCACACAATGAAATCTTTTTCAAAAAGTTATACAGCATTAAGAATTCCACACAAAAACTGTATATTTTTATAATTTAAAAGGCGTATTTTTTCTTTTTCTTCTGAATATTTGAATTTTAATTATCACCAGCATAAATGTACATAAGCAGATATCGTTTATCCAGTACCTTTGGATGATGTATGTATGGTAATGTAGTTTGTCAGTTTATCATCATTTAATATGATTATGTTGTTCTTTGTCTTTAGAATGTTAGAAGAACATGCTGCCATTAAACTTTCCATGTCTGTCTAGTTAATATTGTGAAAAAATAATAAAGCACACTGTGAGTTACTTGGTTTGCATTTGCATTGTTTAGGATTTGTTGATAAAAACCTACTCAAACATTTTGAGTGTAATCCCATAAATGAAACATAATGTTTCCTTCCTGGTAGTTCTATTGACATGTTCTGCTCAATATAGGCCAGTATTCGCCAGCCTTCCTCAAAGGCCTCTGTGCATCGAGACGCAATAAGCCGGGTTTGCTAAGCTGCTGCTGTGTGAAATACAGTCCACAGCCGTACCATACGCTTTGGGACCCGAGGGCAGTGTCACCCATTCTGCTGTTCCATACACCTGATGTCTTGTGGAAAGTGCAGCAAGACTCCTCTATTTATTTGCTAAAATTACTTTTTGTCCTTGTAGAAAGGAGCTGGAAGCATATCAGCAAGTTATTAGCAAGAGAAAAAGAAGTACTTTTTGTTACTGCTGAAGGTTTCAGTTATGATTGGTTTCCAGCAGGTATTTAGGTATTTTGCTTCTTAAAGGCTCGTATTAACTGGCCCTCAAATCGCAGTTGTTGCCACATACCCTCTGCGGCTTTAGGTCATGTAGAACATAGCTCAATGAGCTCAGGTAATGAGTATTTAACTGCCCTAAGAATTTACCCAGCTTCTTGAGTGGGATTTGCAGCCTAGCATGTGCACTGTGCTGTCATGGATGCGCTTGTGAGTGCCTGAAGTTAGTAGTTTAATGCCTTTCAAGGACAATTCAGACACGTGCAGAAGATCTACCCCTCTGTGTCCCTGAAGGCAGGGAAGGTGGAGGAACTCGGCCTGAAACCAAAAGAAGAAGCAACAGTAGCAGAACACAACTAATAGACTCTGTCCTCTGGGCTCTGGGATTAAACCGTCCAGCAGAGAGCAAGGTTACTAAATCCTTTGCAAGGCAGAAGGTAAGCAAATTTGCAATTCTGCAAGTACTGCCATTTCCCCCCCATTATTCTGTGAGACGGAAAAAAGAAGAAAAGGACCTGGAGGAAAGTAGCCTCAGCACTGTCTTTTTTCTAGCTAAAACCTAACAGAGGAAGATGGGATTAAGTTTCCCTAGGGAGGCAAACCGAGTTCAGCAAAAACAGGCAAATCAGTTCAGTGATTCTCCTCTTTCTGCCCGGTCAGATGTCTCCAGTTTTTCTAAAAAGCGAACAGATTAGCACCCATGATTATGGGTGCCTACCATAATCATGCCTAATGATATGGT